CTTTCCCGTACATGGTTCCCCCAACGGCACACTGATGAAACGCAACCTACTCGAGCAAACCTACTGCTCTGCTCGGGGCACGGTCTTGCCACAGAGGGGATGTCTGAGGATTCTCTATACAGCACGCGGAACACGCTATACTAAACTAGGGAAGCGAAAAAGTACATAAACACGGTAACTCGGAAATCCACGCGAATTCTTTGGATCAGCGCTGGACCCCGGCGCCGGAGGCGCCGCCAGGGGGTCCGCGCGGACCTTCGAGTTTTGATGTTCATGCCCCTTTTCGTTCCCCTATAAAATGACGGCCTCTCCTCCAAACACGCACGAATGCAGGTGTCCAAACAAACGCTCCCGGTGGCAACTCTGTCGAACGTCGGCGCCTTCCACAAAAGATACGGGGGGCCTCTGCCGTGGGCCCCGCCTCGCACCGGCGAGCGATGGCGAGCGACGAAGCAGACGGAGCACAGGCGGGGCCACCATAACGGCCACCGCCTGGCCCTCGGCGAAAAGTTTCCGGATTAGCGCCGCGTTAACCTTACTCGAGCATGTCCTCCTACGGGCGGATCGCGACGAAAATTTAGAAAAACAGTCACAAGAAATTCAAAAAATGTTATCGATATACGTATATATATGCAAATATACATACCTATACCTATATATGCATGCATATATATATACACATACATACATACATACATACATACATACATACATACATACATACATACATACATACATACATACATACATACATACATATAGATCACCATGCCATGTTTGCCGATTTTTGACAATGGCTCCTGTAGAGGGACGGGCCCGACTTAACATTGACCTCGGCCGTCAGATCCTCATCCGCCGAAGGCCCGAGGTCGAAGCCGACCACGGGAGGTAGCCGCACCGGAGCTCCGCGCGCCGTGGCCCAGCCCCGCTGCCGAACAAGTCCAGCCTACGCATCACCGAAGGGCGCCCAACAGGACCCTGCTCGCCACGCGCCAGGGTTAGGACGGGCGCGTCCCTCTACAGGAGGAATATACGAAAATAAAAAACAGGCTCGGGACTAGGACTATATGTTTCTAATACGTTTAGACCATCGTTGAGCATGTTTCGACTACGTTTTATTTGCCGCCCAAAATCCGCCTGCAGGGGGGGACATGTCCGACCCAACGCCAGGGCTGCCCTGAGCTCCCTTCCGGCGGGGAGACGACGGCCGGCCCGAGGTCGAAGGCGTCGCCTGACCTCGCGGGGCCTCCCGACGTCCCTGGGGTTTTGCCTGCAGCTCGGCTGCTCCTCGGCCCCGCCTCTGCGGGGCCGCTGCGCTTTTTGACAAGCACGCTCGGACGACATGCGCAGCCGCAGGCGCCCGGGGCGGCGCCTGGCTCACTCGGGCACCATTGGCAGGTGCGCGACGCGGCGCGCAGCTACAGCAGCGAATTCTGCTGCGCTGCCCCCAACGCAGCGCAAGTTGCCGAGGAGCAGCAGCGCCGGCCATCGCGCCCTCGTCGACGGCCGCCGCGATCGAGGCGGCAAGAGCTCGCGCCAGCCCTCGGCGGCGCGCGCGGCACGGGGCAGGCGGCGCGAGCCCTTAGGGGGGGGGGCCGCTGCAGGACAGCAAGAGGTCGCGTCCGTCGGCGACCCCTCCCACGCTACCATCAGGTCGGGCATGTCCCCCTACAAGCGGACCCCGAGCGAAAAAATGAAAATGGTCAACAAAAACAACAACAACAACAACAACAACAACAACAACAACAACAACAACAACAACAACAACAACAACAACAACAACCACAACCACAACCACAACCACAACCACAACCACAACAACAACAACCACAACCACAACAACGACAACAACAACAACCACAACAACTACAACTACAACAACAATGACATCAAATACAACAACGACAACAACAACATAACAACAACAACAACAACAACAACAACAACAACAACAACAACAACAACAACAACAACAGCAACAACAACAACAACAACAACAACAACAACAACGACAACGACAACTACAACAACAACAACAACAACGACAACAACAACAACAACAACGACAACAACAACGATAATTACTAGCACGTGGGGACACTCCGTTCTCACCAGTGCCAGGGTTTTCATAGGAGGCGGGCAATACCCCCACTTTGTGGGGGGGCCGGTTCAAGCTCTACCAAATTTCCAAACGACTCTTCGCCACCACCCACACCCAGCTTCCCGCCCTATGACGTTCGGACACTTCACTTCGTGGCATGCGGACGACCGTGGCTACTATTCAGTGCCCCGCGGCCGACGACGACGGCGTGCGCGCGCGAAGAAAAAACGAATGTGACCCGCATGGTATTATTTGACAGGGATGATGGCCCTGGCAGGTGCGCAACCGTTGTCGCAGAAGTTCGAAAAAGTTGCTCGCAAAAGCCCGTTTGACAGAAATGTTTAAAAAGTGTTTGGTTCCCGACGAATCCGCAAGAGCGCGCGGGATGAGATTTTGACA